CAAGGGCAGGTTCTCCATCTGGCGGCGTCAGGGTGCGGGGTGGTCCCGTCTCCGGGAGAGTCCCCTCTACGCCACTCTCTGAGCCTGACCAAGTTTGCAATCATGTGTTCATCTAAATTCTCCGTGACATTCTCTACAGCCCTTCCTCGCTATGTGATTTGAGGCAGGTTACTGAACCTCTCTGGGCCTGGATTTTTGTCTGAAGAAACAGAATTAACGAGAGGCGAGTTGAACACCCCTGCTAGCTCAGGGGGCCCAGAGTCGGGCTCAGAAGACAGAAGACAGAAGACGGTGGCCACCGTGGTGCCCTGCGGCACAACCTTTTCAGAGAAATTCTTCCTTGTTTATGCTGTAATTTTGTGGGCTCTGGGCTCTGGGCCCAAAGGCCTGTGGTGGGTTTATTCAAAGTTCTTATTCCGGGGACTAGAGACAAGGGGGCGGGTGAGCAGGACGCTTTCTAAATCATCCCCCAAACTGTTCTAGGCAGAAGGGAATGAGCCTGCGACGGGAGGTGACCTTGAAAGTGACATAAACTGGAGGGGAGGGGCTCTGTACAAACAATCCTACTAAGCCCAACTCCCCACCCAATGGTATCCATCCCTGGGAAATATTAAAAGGAAAGTACAGAAAAAACCCGACATCCAGACCCACAGCTTATGGAGTTGCAGGTGGTGGCTGGAGACAGACCCATCTGACTCTCCCCCTCCTTTGCCCAAAGTGGCCCTCAGGTGACAGAGCCGGCCAGCCCCTTCTTGCAGGGAAATCGGGAAGAGAGCAGGAAAGAACTGGGGAGGTGGGTGGCAGGAACGAGGAATTAGGCAAAGAAAAACAGCCTGCAAAATGCAGAGACGCCCCAGCATGCTCGCTTCCCAAACCCGGCCCATGAATCGAGGGGTGACAGGTCTCTCATCTGTGATGCCAAGAGCCAGGAGCTCCGGGCAGCCGCAGGTACTACATCTGCACCTGCCAGCGCTTGGAAAGAGGCAATAAAGCATCGTAGCAGGGCCTGGAATGCTAAGTGCCTGCAGCTGGGAAGGGACCGCCTTACAGCGAGAGCAGTTCGCGGCACACGTCCACTGCGCGAGGCCCCTCTCCCAGACACCGGCCTGTGCTTCCTCTCCTGCCCCAGGCAGCCTGCTCCCGGGGTGAGGGGAAGGGGGGGCGCTGGACAGAACAGGTGCACGCTCCGTCTAGCCCTGGGGGCTGCCATGGCCGGGTGCTGGCCCAGACAGACGGGGATCTTCTGGATGAAGCCCAAGTGGGCTGGGTAATTTACCGAGGCTGGCAGAAACCGGGATGCTTGAGTCACTGGTACATAAAAGCGGATCATAAAGCACCCCAGCCAAGCCAGACGTCTGGAAATACACCAGGGCCACACGCAGCTTAGAAGTGTGGGCCCCATCCCCCAAGTGATAATAACGATAATAATGTTTATACAGCAACTTAGAGGGGTAGCTTCTCCGAGCCTGTGCTCAGGGCTTTGTACGCGTCTTAATTTACTTAATCCTCGTAAGGACCCTAAGAAGCTGGTCATAGTAGCATCCTCCTGTCACATACCAGGGAGATGAGGCAGCACGGGGGCCAGAGAGCCACGTACAAACAAAGGCAGGCTGTGAACCCCTGCAGTCTGCTTCCAGAAGCCAGGCCCCAGGCAGTGTTTCCCAAACTCTACTGCGCCCCTCAGGAACCTGGGGGGCTTGTTAGCGTGCAGCTGCTGACTCAGCTGGTCTGGGGCAGGGGCCTGCCTCACTGCCAAGCTTCCAGGCGATGCCCCATCCGGGGACCACACCTTGAGTAGGAGGCTCTAAACTACTAGACAAAAATGATGGAAAGAGCCTAAATGTCCATCAACTGACGAATGGATGAAGCAACAGTGGTTTAGATACACAATGGAATACGACGTGGCAACGAGAAAGAATGAAATAGGGCCTTTTGTGGCAACGTGGAAGGAACTGGAGGGTGTTACGCCAAGTGAAATAAGTCACACAGAGAAAGACAGATACCATATGTTTTCACTCCTTTGTGGATCCTGAGGAACTGAACGGAAGACCATGGGGGAGGGGAAGGGGGGAAAAAAAGGTACAGAGAGGGAGGGAGGCAAACCATAAGA